TTGCAAATCTTTCCAGCGCGGGCTCTACGATAAACATCACGCGTGTACGAGCTTCACCAGTGATGAGACGAGCTGGACCGACCGATTGCTGCCGAAACGCGGCACACCACGTTCTCACAGTAAGTAAACTTTGCTTTCTTTGGCGATTATCACACTATACCGCGCTCCGCCGCGGTACGCGGGACGACAGATTTAATCATTATATGCTAGTACCTCAGTTTGTATAGAAAACACGCGCGGCTGCCAACGCGTCTGCGCGCGGGATTCTTTATAATAATTATTATGTCGCCACGCGGACCGCGGCGCCGGAGTGCGGTGCAGTGCGATAATCGCCTTTCTATTCCTTTTGCAGTGTTTTTTATAACCACACAGCAAAGAAGCTCTTGGCCTTGTACTATGGGTATCAGCCTCTACATTTTTAAACGTGTCTAATACGTACTGGGTGGCGCAAAAGTACTGGCACTAAAGAAAATACTTTTTTTTTTTATATGACATTTTCTGTCATTTTTTTGTTGAAAATTGTGTAGTGAACAAATGTAAAATAGGTACACTGAAAATAAACATGGACCGTTTTACTCCCCAAGAACGTGGAATAATTGTGTCAATGTTCTTACGGACGCTTTTCCAGGCCGAGTTATCTCTCGTTTTGGCGATTTGCCTTGGCCTGCAAGATCACCCGATCTGACCAGTCCAGACTTCTTTCTTTGGGGTTTTTTGAAATCTCGGGTGTATGTGAACAAGCCACAGACTCTCGCAGCTCTAAAAGAAAACATTCGTCAAGAAATAACGAACATATCGCAGGAAGTGTTACGGCAAGTTATGCAAAATGTCATAAATAGGGCTCAAATGTGTATCAACTCTGGAGGTCACCATTTAAAAGACATCATCTTTAAATCCTAATGGTACGAAATTTAATGGCACAAATATACATTTAAAAAAACCTAAATCTAGTTTTCTAATTTAGAAAAAATGTTATAGCTGAACCAAATAGGGTCTTTACTTTTGCGCCACCCAGTATAAATAACCAAAATAGATCTGGTTGATTCAGCTCTGCAATGACTAAAGTAGGTAGCTAAACATATGAATAGTTGGTAGGTATTTAATAAAAACAATGGGCCCTTCATCATCACCATCATCATCTCAGACGTCCACTGCTGAACATAGGCCTCCCCCAATGCTTTCCATGTTTTCCGGTACGCGGCCTCCACTCCAGAACCTTGCTGTCCCATCGGCCGTCAGTTCTACGTACTATGTGCCCTGCCCATTGATATTTCAGCTTGCTAATCCGTCATGTCCATACTAAATGTAAATTTAAACAAGTGTTCAACGGACGTTTAATTTTTGTAACAAGCCCCTCGAGTTCCACTCTAGGAATCAAACCTCGAACCAAAGAGAGTCTCACTCTACAAACTACGAAGGCGTTAACTAAGATAAAGCTACAAAACTAACTGGAAACTGTAAACTTTCAAATGATACTGCGGAGATTAAACCAAGGATGTTATGGAGCTCCGTAACCGCAACCGAAACTATCGGATATCCGAAATAAAACAATATCCGTAACCGAAACAAATTCCAACCTACCAAAAGAGTCTGATAGTTTCGGATAAAAGCGTAAGACGTCTTGCGTATCGTAGACCAGCTGGCTTATTTCGTGGAACCCTAACTCACAACCTAAGTGGTCACATGATACCGCGGTAACAATTTATTTCTAGGTATTGAGTCTTGAACTTGATTCGGTGGTACTTGAAGAGATAGTCTGGCACACAATTTTCTTCACATTCTAATATCTATAACCGAAATTATCCGAAACTATCAGATAATCCGAAATGATTTCATATCCGTAACTGTAACCGAAATATTATATCCATGACATCCCTGGATTAAACTCGAAACTTCTGATGTGATGTATGGTGATAGTCAAAGCCAAGTACTCTCAGTTGTGCAAATTTCTGACCGAAAATTAATGGGCTTTGGTAACATGATTAATGGGACTACATCAGAATGTGACAAATGACAGAATAGGCTTAGTCCAGCATAGCGCCAGGCAAATTAATTAATTGTGCTAGACTTTTTAATTTGGTGCCAATTCTGGAACATAATTGATACTCTTCTTCACTCTTTTGTCTGGAAGAGATGGCTTTGTAGCGATAAGACTGCCTGCAATAATAAATTATTGTTTTCCATGTACTGTTTTCTAAAACCTTTCTAAAACCACGGAAAGAAAGAAACTATATGATCGATCAAACTGTATTCCACTTAGAGTACCCGCTGAAATAGCACTTGAACGAATAGCACCTGGCCTATTTCACTTAGAGCACCTATCGTTATTTTGGGCAGGTGCTATTCGTACTGCACTGTAACATGTTAGGTAATTTGTAAAGGGTATTTCCAATAATGTACTGTTGACGTTGACGACTGTACATTAGAAAAATAGTCTATTTATATTAATCTAAGAAGTACTTTTATCTTATCAAAAGACAAACTATGAAAACATTGTCCCAATAGACTATGGAAAAAAACTGATTTTCTTTAAAACAGATAACTTTTTTTGTAGAAAATGCTAATAATGATTGATGGATCCTTTTTAAATATCTTGAAATAGTTTTTCGCTGGAAATATTTTAATTAGTTTCTAATTAATATTTCAACTTCCATTAAGTAAAAATTTTGCTTAAGAATTTCCTAATTTTACTCGTATAATTAAAAAATTCAGCTTTCATTTACATTGACGTCATCTAGTTTTAGATATCTTCTATCCTAGTCTACGAGCTAAACTTGACTTCAATGGAGAAGTTTTCGATTTTTTTCTATTAATAAAACTTGAAAATATAAGTAAATCCAATAATAATTGTGGTCGTGAAAGAATCATGGAAATATCTCTACAAATAAAGAAGTTACAGGACCCCAAAGTTGTGCATAACAAATATTTCGCGCCATTTGATCGGTGACATCACGGCACTCATTCGGAGTACAAACAGTGAATCACCCCTAGTCCAGTGCTGTTGACAGATCCAATTTTTACAGGCTTTAATCATTATTGACTTCACTTGTTAGTATGTGTGGGACAAATCTTGCAACTGAATTTAAGACCAGTTCTCCGCCGATTGAGCTGAAATTGGGTATACTTATGTAAGTACGATGACAATGCAATGTTATGGTACCATTGAGCTGGTCTGATGATGAATTGAAAAAGTTATTTTTATTATATTTTTTTATAATCTAGTAGTTTTAAATTTTTCAGCCAGGGTCCCTCAAGATTCTTTGTTAAAGCCTGGTCCGTGAGCACGTAGAATTTTGTCCAATGACCCCAAGCTACCCATCCTTATCGCTCGCGCGTAATTATGTTGCTGACGCGTTCGCACACTCACTGCGGGCGCGCGTCGCACAGTCGCAAAAAAGTAAAATTAGTAAAATTATTTTGTAATTTTTTTGACATATACAAAAAGAAGAAGAAAACTTCGACAGATAGTGTCATTCTCGACATTGCGCCAGGGTGGTAAGCATTGTGGTTGAAACTAGAACAGTGGGTCTAGACAAAGTGCAAATTATAATCGCAAACCAGTCGAAAAGCCCCTTTTTTGTATGGGGTTTTGACGGATTCGATTTTCGATTCGATCAAAAAGTGCGTTTTGTCTAAGGGTACGAACTAATGTTTGAGTTCCACGCGAAAATATAAAGGTAATTTAGTCATTTCTTGATGGATTTCAAAAATAACTTCAGCGGCTTTTTAGTTTTGGTCTATATTTTAATCCCATTCAGTGAAATTTAATGTTTCGAACATCACGAAACTTCTCTATTGTAGAAATTGCAACTGCCCACTAGTAAATTAATGGCATTTGGTTACATAAATAATTGTGGGTTTGTCTCAGAGCTTGACTAACGATTGTAGGCCACAATAAAACTCTAGTCAGTAGGTTACCTATGTCATCTCCTAAGTAAAATGGAAATTACATAAATTAACCAAATTTCAGCTCAATCTGTTGAGGAGAACTGGTCTAAAATTCAGTTGCAAGATACACACACATACTAACAGGGGAAGTCAAATAAAAGCATGTAAAAAAAATAGATGTAATTTTCGTGAGAAAGCTGTAGGAACCCGCTATTTCTAACGGTGTTATAGCTGGAGGCTGTAGCTAGGTTTCATAGCTTCGTAGTAGAGATACAACATTGACTAGGTCAGAAAAAGATGCGGGCTTGAGCTAGAAAGATTAACGTAATTCCAAAATTAATGTGGTTGCAATATACAGGCTAACCAGAATAATTGTTTTGTCGCCACTTGCACTTGACTGTACTTAACGCTATTTTGTGAGATGATTACATAATACGATACGAACGAATTTGATACGATAACGAATAGTCTATCACTTATTGTAAGTTTTAGACTGGGAGAATATCTATAGATATGACGAATGAGTGGATTCCTTTCAATACAGGTTACATAAACTTAAAGAGAGGAATTCCCTAACAAATTGTTACAAAGCTATTAAATTCAATAAAAATATTTTTCTAAAAATATTTTTTATCACTTGTGACTGTGAAACTGTGATTTTCAAGATCCTTGTACCTGAAATTGGTGATCCTGTCATTTGGAGACAAACTGATCTAAATACCTGCGGTTCTACTGTGACTAACTACCTTATGAGCTAGGTCTACAATACTAGAGACCTATGCTTAGCAGATGGGTCAGTACGTGCTCAGAATTGATCTGAATATTAATGTGTGGGATGAAAAATAGCCTTACTCGGTACTAATCTCTATAGTTGGCAGCCGCCTGGCAGTTTGCATAATGGAATACAATGAAGTGAACCCGTTCAAATCCTGCTGGGTGTAAATATTTGTGTTTGTACCTAGTGGTTTCATAACAACATATTATACTTATTCATATTGACTTTATTTTCTAAGGGATTTATGTGAGAAAATAGTATCAAAATCATTTATTATCATCAAAAAGAAACTAGATTTGTCATGGGATATTTCAAGATTTAAAAAGTTAAAACAAAAATCGCATTAAAATATTTTTATTACATTTAAATCTTATCGGTATAACTTATTCAGGAACACTTCTCCTCAAATGGTAAGCTTCAATATCTAAAGTCTGTGGGCTCAGGTTGGTCACCCTCCAATCACCGTCGGGGTACACTCGACTGCTGAACACCACTTCACCTTCACCACAGAACAGCTCCAGAGAACTAGCATCCAAGAAAATTCTCCAAGAGTGAGATTTAATAGGTTCCCATTCAACCTGGCGCACGTCATCAGATCCTCTATCCACGATTACTTTGCCCTCTCCAGCATCCCATCTTACCCAGGCCTTTCCACCACCGTTGCTGCCCTCAATCAACAATTCAATATTCTGACTCAAATCTCCATTCACGATAATTTCACCTGTCTTCTCAAATTCTACGACAGAATTAGGTTCCAATGCTCCAGTAAAAAGATTCTGTTCTCTCAAAATCACCATCTCGTCAATTGGCTTCATTATAACACGATCTCCTACTAGATTCAGTTCCCTGACAATAGTCATTGTACCAGCCCAGCCGTCTACATCTTCAGGGAGAGGAACGTCCCACATACTAAACCATCCAATAACATACCTCTTGCCGTCCTTTTCCATCGATTGTGTGGCATAAAAGTCGTGACCGAAATCAATTTCTTGGAATTCAACCTCTGGTACGAATTCAAACGTCTCGTAGTTGAAACTGCCGATTATGTAACCAGTTTGATAGGTATTTTTGTACCTGTCACCTTGAGATTCTAGTCCTTGGGGGGACATGAGTAGAATGAATTTTCCGTCTAGTTCGAAGAAGTCTGGGCACTCCCACATGTAACCCATGTCACCCTGAGATTCTCCGATGATTGATAGAAACTCCCAAGTCTTTAAATCTGGTGATCTATAGAGAAGAACTCTTCCCCTTTCATCATCAGTCTTGCTGCCAATCACAACATACCAGTGGTCTTCATACTTCCACACTTTTGGGTCGCGGAAATCTGGAGATCCATTCGGCGCTGCCGGGAGCACTGGGTTCCCTTCATATTTCTGGAAGGTAACACCATCGTCGCTGTAGGCCAAATATTGGGTTTCGTTGTAAAAGGGCTCAACGTCTAGGTTTATACGACCGGTATACATAAGCACTAGCTGGTCTCCGTCAACCACCCCGCTACCTGAGAAGCACATTTCTTGTTCTGGGATCAGAGCCGTAGGTAGTTGTTGCCACTCGACCAGATTGGGGCTGGATACGTGGCCCCAGTGCATTGGTCCCCACACACTGTCGTATGGGTAAAATTGGTAGAAGAGGTGGTATTCGCCTTTGTAGAAAGAGAAGCCATTGGGGTCGTTCATCCATCCAACTGGTGGAGAGACATGGTAGTGAAGTCTGTACCGCGGGTTGATGTCTGCTTTCTTATTGGCTATGTACTCTTCAACTTCTAGAACTGAGTCATGTTGACGAAACGACTTTGACGTCACTGCTGCTATTACACAAAAAGATACCACAAGCTGGTGTAATAATGCCATGACTTAAGATTATGTATCGATTCTGAGATGAGACTCTTTTATATGAGCAGTTATCTGTATTTGCTGATCGCGGTGATAAGATATTTCTGAAGAGTTTTATTANTAGATCGAACTTCACTTGGTAAGTTCGTTTGATCATTCAATAATACAATAAATAGCATTGGGGGTATTTTTTATATTTTTATATGTTGAGCAATGTTACTGTTATAGTATACTAACACACGTAAATTAAAACAAAGAAATCAATAAAGCAAGGGTGTAATTATTTATTGTGATGTGGAAAATATAATTTTATCAATGATTTATATAAAACTATAATTATTTATTTTCTTTTTGTTGTAACAAAAAAAATCTACCTTTACAATAGCAACTAACATTCATAATAAAAGCAATAATAATATTTCAAGTCGAACCTCTAGGATGGATTCCATTACACATTAATTTACATACATCAAAAGAAAGTCCATTAAATAACAAAGTAACGTTCACAGAAATATTACTATTATTTAAACAGCCCTGCCATTATTTTTATTATGTATTTGAATTTAGTAAAACATTTACTCCCTAACTAATAAAAGTTATACGCCCATTGAATACGTCTTAAAGTAACGTTTTGTATGGAAAAGTTATTTTAAACAAGATTAACTTTTTATTAGTAAGACGGTTAAAGTGTTGCTCTTTTACAAAATTGTACTATGACCTACTAATTAAAAATAGTAAGCAGATTGAACTCACATAGCCGCTCAAAACTCTACTACCCGCCCCAGTCGACAATCCCGTGATACTTTTCTTTAAATGATAAGTTTCAATTTCCAACGTCTGTGGACTCAAGTTTGTCATTTTCCAATCGCCATCAGGGTACACCCGACTGCTGAACACCACTTCACCTTCACCACAGAACAATTCCAAGGAACTGGCATCCAGGAAGATCCTCCAGGAATGGGAACTTATCGGAGCCCATTCCACTTGACGAGTATCATTGGATTTGGAACCTCGGTCCACAATCACTTTCCCAACTACAGGGTCCCAGGTCAACCAAGCTTTTTCACCACCATCTTTCCCTTCGATGAGCAGTTCAATAGTTTGGTTCAAAGTTCCATTAACTATAATCTCGCCTGTTTTCTGAAATTCTATTGTCGTATTAGGTGCCCATGACGTTGTAGTTCCTTGTTCTCTCAACGTCACCATTGCTTCGACTGGTATCTGAACAATTCTATCTCCAACGAGTTTCAGCTCCCTAATAATTGTCATAGCACCAGCCCAACCATCAACGGCTTCTGGATGTGGAACTTCCCACATTCCGAACCATCCAACCATGTACCTTTTACCATCATTATCTATAGTTTGCGTCGCGTAAAAGTCATGGCCAAAATCGATCTCCTGAAATTCAACTTCAGTCACGAATTCAAAAGTCTCATAATTAAAGTTGCCAATGATGTAGCCAGTTTGGAAGATATTCTTGTATCTATCACCCTGAGGTTCCATTCCCTGTGGTGACATAAGTAAAATATATTTCCCGTCTAGCTCGAAAAAGTCTGGACATTCCCACATGTATCCCAATGTGCCGTCTGATTCCCCGATGACTGACAAAAATTCCCAGTTCTTCAAGTCTGTTGACCGGTAAAGAAGTACCCTACCTCTTTGTAAATCGTCACTTTTACTCCCAAGAACTACATACCAATGGTCTCCATGTCTCCACACTTTAGGGTCACGAAAATCTGGAGATCCACTTGGCAAGAGGACTGGGTTACCTTCGTATTTTTCGAAATTTATACCATCGTTACTGAAAGCCAGATATTGAGTTTCCCTGTAGTAGGGTGGAGTGTCTCTATCTTCGTGGCCCGTATACATGAGCACAAGTTGATCTCCATCGACCACGCCGCTGCCTGAGAAGCATTGTTCTTTTTCCGGTATCAAAGCTGTCGGTTGTTCCTTCCAGTCGACCAGGTTAGGGCTTGTTGAGTGGCCCCAGTGCATCGCCCCCCACACGCTGTCGTAGGGATAAAATTGGTAGAAGAGGTGATATTCGCCTTTGTAGAAAGAGAATCCATTTGGGTCGTTCATCCACCCCACTGGTGGAGTGACGTGGTAGAGAAGCTTGTAGCGTTGGTTGATGGTTTCTCTCTTATCGGCTATGTATTGTGCCAGCTCAGTCTTATTAGTCTCTTTAGACGTTTGTGATGAGACTGCGACTGCGATTAACAAAACCAAAACTAGTTGATACAGAAACGCCATGATGGAAATTAATCAGCCTAATTGAAGCAGCCCAATCATTTATATGGACAATAAAATTATCTGAAGATGTTAATGTGAAGATGATAAGATATCGTTAAGAGTTCTGTTTAGTCCCCTTTAAGTAGCTAGTCAAGTAGTTAACTCATTTCAACGTGATTTGACTGTTTGTTGAGTTATTCNGTCAGCCCATATTCAAATTCAAATTATTTTTTTTTATTGCATATTAAGTGTTTACAATTGGATATTCTTACCTATTAAGCGGAGATACCAACTTTAATTTGAAGTGGCAAGTATCGAACTCTTCATAAGTGTAAATCATTCAAAGTATTCCTTTGATAAAATATTAAATACTTAAACGTCTTGGTCTAAAGTGGGTTTTGGTTTTCGTCATCCTTATAAATATGTTTTGAAATAATACTTACTGACCTATCATAAAAATATAATCCTACAGGAGTTTAAATTATCACTAATCACTTTGTACCTATACCTCTCAAATGACTACGTTTCAGAATAAACCTGACGTTACAGTACAAAAAATCTGATAATTTAGTGTACCTTTCAGATTTTTCCATTCGTAATACACATAAATTCTACGAACAAACATCTCAGAATAAGCTATATACTCTATCGTCTATCTATTGCAAGGATTGGAATGGAACTTGACCTACCTGTCGTATCAACCAAAATTTTTGTGATCACATACAAGGTGTCCCAGAATGGGTGAATCAAACTGATAGGGGAGGTAGCTCTACTAATGTACTATCCAAAAAAAATTTGATTTCGGATTTTTTGTCATTATTTTCAAAAGTTTGTTTACAGATAAGCGAAGCGATCATGTTAGTAAGAAAAAAGTACAATAAACTCTAAACGCAGCAATTATAGCCAGATACTTAGGCAAAGCTGATTTATTTTCACGATTTCAATGCGCTTTATATTTTTTAAATATTTTTTAGGGATAGTACATTAGTAAAGCTACCTCCCCTATCAGTTTGATTCACCCATTCTGGGACACCTTGTATAACAGAATTTATATTGTGCTTGGCTGCAACACATTAAAATCCGGATATGTAAAATGCTGATAAAGTATGGTATTTCCCAAATTTAAAAGGTAAATGAAAAAAATATGGAAATAATAATACTGCTTTATTTTTCACACAAAACGTTATAAAGTTATTACATTTTGAACATTGTGACATACATGATATATGTATAACACTGAAATGTAACGTGTATACTCGTATATTATGAGACCCGCATTTGCCAGAGGCGCAGCTTCGATTCCAAATCTACCTACATTACAATTTTATCTGCAGCTATAAACCAATTTAGAAGTGAAAATACTCCCTGTAGATAATAAATTAAAGTTAAATAAAGCAAAACAAGAACTTATATCAACCTAATGAATAACCTTAGAACCACTTTAGACTCTTTTACCCACCCCCCTTAATTTAGTTCTGTAATACTTTTCCTTAAATGATAAGTTTCAATATCCAATGTCTGCGGACTTAGGTTTGTCACTTTCCAATCGCCATCAGGGTACACCCGACTGCTGAACACCGCTTCACCTTCACCACAGAACAACTCTACGGAACTGGCGTCCAGGAAAATCCTCCAAGAATGAGAACCTATCGGAGCCCATTCCACTTGACGAATATCATAGGAGCCCCGGTCTATGATGACTTTTCTAACTGCAGGATCCCATTTCAGCCAAATCTTTCCTCCACCACCATATTTTCCTTCTACTTGAAGTTCAATCGCTTGATTCAAATCTGGATTTACTATAATTTCGGCTGTCTTCTCAAATTCTACAACATTATAGGGGGCCAATGAAATTCTATTACCTTGTTCTCTCAAATTAATCATACCTTCGACAGGTGTCTGAATGATTCTGTCTCCGACGAGTTTCAGCTCCCTAATGATGGTCATAGCGCCCGCCCAGCCATCAGCCGCTTCCGGGTGAGGAACTTCCCACATTCCAAACCATCCAACCACGTATCTTTTACCATCGTTACCTATTGTCTGTGTCGCATAAAAGTCATGGCCATAATCGATCTCTTGAAACCCAACTTCGGGTACGAATTCAAAGGTCTCATAATTAAAGTTGCCAATGATGTAGCCAGTTTGGAAGGTATTCTTGTATCTATCACCCTGCGGTTCCATTCCCTGTGGTGACATAAGTAAAATATATTTCCCGTCTAGCTCGAAAAAGTCTGGACATTCCCACATGTATCCCAATGTGCCGTCTGATTCCCCGATGACTGACAAAAATTCCCAGTTCTTCAAGTCTGTTGACCGGTAAAGAAGTACCCTACCTCTTTGTAAATCGTCACTTTTACTCCCAAGAACTACATACCAATGGTCTCCATGTCTCCACACTTTAGGGTCACGAAAATCTGGAGATCCACTTGGCAAGAGGACTGGGTTACCTTCGTATTTTTCGAAATTTATACCATCGTTACTGAAAGCCAGATATTGAGTTTCCCTGTAATAGGGTGGAGTGTCTCTATCTTCGTGGCCCGTGTACATGAGCACAAGCTGGTCTCCGTCGACCACGCCGCTGCCTGAGAAGCATTGTTCTATTCCTGGAATCAAAGCGGTTGGTTGCTCCTTCCAGTCGACCAGGTTCTGACTTGTAGAGTGACCCCAGTGCATTGGTCCCCACACGCTGTCGTAAGGGTAAAATTGGTAGAAGAGGTGATATTCGCCTTTGTAGAAAGAGAATCCATTTGGATCGTTCATCCACCCCACTGGTGGAGTGACGTGGTAGAGAAGCTTGTACCGCTGATTGACCTCTTCTCTCTTATGAGCTATGTAATCTGCAAGTTCGCTTTTGCTGGTTCTCCTTTTGGGTGATTGTAAAGAGACGGCGACTGCAATTATCAGAATTACAAGTTGATGTAAAAACGCCATGATGGACGTTAATCGAAATAATTGAAGCTGCTCAGTCATTTATATGGAATTAATTATCTAGATATTTTAATGTGAAGTTGATAAGGTATTGTTTTAAGGGTTTTGTTTAGTCCCCTATAAAGTAGCACTCCAATCAACGTGATTACCTGTTAGGTTATTATCATAAAATGTCTACAAATAACTACTGTTCATGAAACTTCAATATAAAGGAGATTTCTCCAGGAAAATAAGATTTTTTTACATTTTTAACATACATTCACATACTTAAATCAAACGAAGAAATTACAAATAGAAACATTTGAATGTCACACACGTATTTACTTATTCATCAAAGATAAAAATTACATAGAAACAAAAATAATTTTTAACTTAGGATTTTATCCTTTCTATCTACTGAAATGAAACACAATTTGTGTTGGTCTCATCGCAAAAATAATTAACCTTACCACAAATAATACCTTATTAAATTCCAACCCCAAATAGATTTGTAGAAACAAACTGTATAATATCTTATTTTCATAAATAGCGTTTCAAAACAGCAATCTACACAAAATTTGTCCCCTTTGAAGTGTGTGAATGGTATTCTCCAAAATCTTATTTGATTTTAATCAAAAGCCCGATAACGATAATTCACCGTAGGAACAATTTCTGTGAGTGACAGGCGACTGATAGCGCCGGCGATCAATCTGATATGCCTTCAAGATGTGGAAACCAGAAAATATGGTGTGTCAGGACAGCTAGACAAAACCAGACATTATCTGTTTGTTTGGAATATGATTCAATGTCAGACGACTTGCTTGTTTCCACGGAACATCCCGTTTTTTGCAGGATCCCGTTTTAATACTAAGGGCTTATTCCCACTGAAGCATCCCGTTTTTTGCAAGAACTGGTTTTGAAAGGATCCCGCTTATAGTATAGGTAGGTTTTAATACTAAAACTCATAAAACTCATTTATTTATGCAAATAGGCTTTTCAAAAGCACTTTTACACGTCCCAATATTAACCCTACCACTGCTTCGGGACAATAAATGGGCCAGTGCTGAGAAGAAGCAGCGCAAGAAACTCAGTCACTATTGTCAGCCTCCTTTTCAAGGGTTTACAGTCTTTAAAATATACAAATTATAGTCATAAGCATCGATGCGAGCTAGGTAGTTAAACATTCCAAACATTTTTATCTTTTATATAATCATCAACTTTATAGTAGCCCTTTTTCATTAAGGTGCTTTTGACGTGTGCTTTAAATTTATGAATGGGCAATTCTACAACAGTTTGTGGTAATTTATTGCTAACTAACATGAACATCCCGTTTACAGTGCCCCCAAAATACCGATCCATTCGATCACACGATAGACTACAAGACACGGGTCTTACGCGACGTTTATTAATGAGTTACAATTATTAATAAACGTCGCGTTAAGTCCCGTATCTTACTAATTTAGTTGAAATGGAACGCCAAAGTTTAAAATCTTACACACGATAGACTGTCGTCTTACCAGTCCTATTGAGATGCAAACTTCGTATTGCATTTACGACATGAATTTATGAAATCGGTCCAATACCTACTAGTTTCAGAGCTAATTCAATACAAGTATATAATGCAAACAATTAAAAAGTTTGCTCCTTATTATTATAATATTAATAAGGGTTCGGACAAACCAACGCGATCACAGCGCGATCAGCCGGCGTGCAGCGATGGCGACCAGACCTAAATGCATTGATCGCCATCGCTGCACGCCGGTTGATCGCGCTGTGATCGCGTTGGTTTGCCCGAACCTTAATAGCTGAAGCCAAAAAAATGCTAAAATACACTTCTATAAAATGAAGTCAGTGAGTATGAAATTTCAAATAAAACGCCAAAGCTCCCCCATTTATCATTTCTCGGAGCGTTTTAATAAATCTTTCGTTTGTAGATGAATTTGTAATGGAGATCTAACAATCATGCTCGGGAATTGGCCAAGGCTGCCATATTGATGGGTTCTTATTAAAATTCACTCAAAGATACAGAAAAAATCCCGCCTTGTTTCTGGAATATTTCGATTAATTTTAATTTTCTATAATGTAAAATTTAATCAAACTGTCTAAGCTAGTGAAGAGCATGCTATTTGACTTAACATTTATATTTAGCCTAGGCGCAGGCCATCGACTTTTAGTTGGCCGATAGTTGGCCCTGATTCCCATTGTATGAAGAATCGATCGATACCAAATCGGTGTAATGTGCGCACTTTCATACACATGTCCGTACTCCGTACTGATTAACAGCGCGACCTAACTATCGGCCAACTAAAACTCGGTGGTCTGCGCCGCCTTGGCTTACAGTAATTATAAAACTCCAAATGGAAGTGTTAAGTTTTCTATATAATAAACATACACGCGTTTTACCAGATTGCAGAGGTTTTTCAATTTACTTGTCCAGCCAGCTTTTGCTGTCCAGGAAGTGAACCCAGGACCTCTGGATCTAGGATAGTTCAACTCTCTAACCATAGATGTCTTTGACTATGTTATCACCATGTACTCATATTAGTGGACATTCCGGAATCAGGTGGCTGAGTATCAATGAGTGGCTCATTAGACTTAACAAAGTTAAAACCATGTATACTATGTTTTAAGCAAATAAATAAATTATCTTATCTTATCTAAATATCAAAGTAAGTTTACATTTTTGTTGCAATTAGTATCTAGGTATTACAATTGAATAAGATATCGCAGTGTAAAGCTTGACGTGAAGTCGTCATACAATATTCCTTTGAGTTATTTTATTGTATTACTTGTCCTTGATCTTGATCTGAAGTGGATTTCTATATATTTTATCTATGTTTGATAATAGATATAGTAACATGCTCGTTATCTCGTAAAATATGTTTGTTGGAGTCGGACTTCTCGAAGACTTTTTGTTGTGTAACTTCCTTGGTTCTGCAAATTATCTGTGGTTCTGCTCAAAAACTTACTTTTGTCTATGATTATGACAAAATGTCTATGAACTAAAGTCGCTGACATAGCCCAACGGATTAGCAAGCTGAAGTGGCAATGGGCAGGGCACATAGTACGCAGAACTGACGGCCGATGGGGCAGCAAAGTTCTGGAGTGGATGCCGCGTACAGGAAAACGCAGCATGGGACGTCCACCCACAAGGTGGACCGACTACATCAAAAAAGTGATCACTCGATCAAAATGGAAAGCATTGTGCTATGACTGAAATGATGATGATGATGACAAAATGAAAAAACCGGCCAAGTGCGAGTCGGACTCGCGCACCGAGGGTTCCGTACAAACCTGCAAGGTTTACAAAGTTCGTTCATTACGACAATCGAGTCATAACTATGGTATTTTTTATTGCAAAATGAAATTCATAACATTACAATGGGGAAAGTAACTACTTAAAAGGAGAATGCCCAAAAGTGGTATCGCTCGAAATCTAATTGTACATTGAGGGTACCACACCGTAAATTCCTTTCTTCATTTGTAATGATTTGCGAAAGTAGTAAGAAATTGTAAAACCTCCGGAATAAAATCCGATTTTAATAAAAAGTATTGTAACAATGAGCTGCAATCAGCAACACCTATCACCGAGCAACGACACTACGTAGTTCGCACGGTTGTCAATAGATGGCGCTGTTCGTAGTTAGCTCGCGGTATCATTTGATTTTTTCCTGTCCCTAAGTAGTCAGGGCTAACCACAAATCCCTTTCCCCTTGCAAAATGGTATAAATAACATTGGTATGCACGCAAGATTATTTTGTGTTTATATCTGATCCTTATCAAATAACGCTAGCTTTGGCGTAGCTAGGGTTTTTTTTTAGGCAGGGTAACTATCTACAAATATAAAACAAGTATTCTAAGGTAAAACCTGTAGCTATGCCAATGGACACCATTCATTTCACTTAAACCAAAATTACGTCAAAGTCCGGAGTTTTATAAAAAAAAAATATGCGGTATGATTATTTTTTATTTATTTATTTTTCCTATATTTGCATTATAGGTAGGTACCTACCTCAGCGTTTTGAATTTTTGCGTTGATTTAGAATTTCTCACAGTTTAGAGGCAATTAGATTTAAGAAGTGTTTGATATGAATTTCAACTTTAATATCTCTACGCGTTCATGTGAAAAAGGGTAGGTAGTAAGTTTATAATTATTAAAAAAATATTTTATGTCATGTAAGCAAAAATAATATTTTAAATTTTATATAACTTCAAATTTATCATTTTCGCAATTTTTCCTTTATCTGTACTATATAACGTTGCTTCGTGCCGAATTTCAAGATTCTGAGTTCACAGGAAGTACCTTGTAGGTTTTGATTCCCTAGCGTGTGACGGAAATTCGTCTAAGGTGTCGGTATAAACTGCTGTATCTTTTGATCGCGTTAACTTAGAAGTTTGATTTTTTTACTTCTTAAAGGGACAATAGATCTAGGTATTTGGTATAAATTTCAATTTGATACCTTTATTCGTTCGTGAGAAATAAGGTAGTAAGTTTCATTTTATTAAAATATTTTTATTTTATTATATAACTAAAAAAATGTAATTTTCGCAATTTTTCCTATATTTGCATTATATGACAATGCTTTATGCCAAATTTCAAGATTCTGAGTTTACGGGAAGTATCCTGTAGGTTTTGATTCCTTTGCGAGTGTCGAAAATTTGTTGAAAATATCGACATAATCGGCTGTATCTTTTGATTGGCTTGGCTTAGAAGTTTGATATTTTCACAGCTTAAAGGGACAATAGACCTGAGTATTTCATGTGAATTTCAGCTTGATACGTTCACGCGTTCTTGAGATAAAGGGTCTTGACAGACGGACGGACGGACAACAAAGTGATCCTATAAGGGTTCCGTTTTTTCCTTTTGAGGTACGGAACCCTAAAAACTACCATAGCTAAGAGAGTTTGATAAATATTTAAGCTGGAATGCTAAATCTACTTCTGAACCACTTTAGTGTTGCAACGTTTAGACCTGAAATACCCCCTATCAGGGAAATCCCCGAAGTTATTATGTACTCTATTTGTAACATTTCCGGAAGCGTGTCGAACGCGCTCCCTCGAGGAATAGAACCTTTGTCTTTGCAGACAATAGTGTTGAGTCCCTCTGGACCGGTGTTGTTGGCAGCGTTTGTGGATTTTTAAATTGGGTCGAGACCTGTAAGTATCGAGAATTATAAGCCCTATGGTACTACTACCAAGTCGTACCGAGGGTCAAGTTGTTAAGATTTTTTGGCTGTCCAGCTAAAAATCTTGATAATATACAAATCGCAAATGTGGAAAATAGCCCTGAGGGAATTTTAAGGGATTAGTCAACAAATCAATAAGCGACAGGAACGAATAGGAATTTATAGTCGCTAGATCACCTCCGCATTCTTTTGTTGAAAATAAACTCAGTCGTCATTTAAAAAAACAACATTTTTTGAATGATCAAACGAACTTACCAAGNTGCGTGCGGTCGTTGCGCGTGCGCACAAAGGAATGAGACCGCTCGGACACCGAGCCCACAGCGTGGTAGGGGTGGGGTTGCCCGCTCTTTTGTTTTTTAATACTACTACGCTGAATATTGTGTGCGGATTGGGTTGTCGTACAGGGGTACTACATGGTAAAATAAATCTCGGAGGCGAAAGCAGGATAATTTATGTCAGTAGTGTTCATAAAGGTGATACAAATGATAAATCTAAGTACTTAATTGTCAAATCGAGGGAAATTGCAATATAATAATTTAAACACTTACTTTTTTGTGTGTCCCATTAGTACTCATTTAGTTCTTTCAATAAACTGGATACCTACTCCAACTTATCTTTGAACTTTTATCAAAAAGGTCACTGTCCAGCAATCTTTAGAATGCAAAATGTGATTCCCCTTTTCTGTTACCATTACGTACTTATTCTTGGAGTTACTGAATCATGTTATTTACTTCATAGGACCAAGATATTCATCCACAGATCAATCATCTTCATAGTACCACAGATCTTGATCAAGAATCACGTTTATTTACTTCATCTGACCAAGATATCAGTGTCACAGATTTCGGTCTAAATTTTATACAAGACATCTTATTTTTATTTAATTTTCAGACAATCATTCTTATCTTACTATATTATAGCCAAAAAGATACCATGACCCATCTGTGTATCAAACCTAGTACCTCCAAGTTGAAGAGTCTACCACACCACAGACTTCCGTTTAACCTACATTCGTTATTAAAGTTTAAAGAACATTTATTTCTCATTAAATGTGGACTATGTAATCACATACATATTTTATGAGAAATTAACTATGTAGGTATTTCACAAACAGCCGATAGCCAAAACAAGCAGATGTCTCTACCGCAGGAATTGTATTCTCAAACACATAGGTACTTACTTAATTTATTTAAACCCTTATTTTTAATTAAACGCCAGTGCCACATTCAGGTAAACTACTGAGTCCCATAATGAGACGCAGTGACTTACAACCTCCGCGAATTCAGAATTAAAATAAGGCAAGATAATGAGGTAATAAAAAATCTGAAACTTTTCCTGACTGCGGCGGGATGTGCAATGAATACCTAACTTTAGACTGGGACAAACAAAATAGATTGTGGGGTGACCAAATAAACGACAATTTTCCAGGATATTTCTATTTATTTATATTAACCGGTAGACAGTGGTGAATGAGTTTGTTCCGGCGCTTCTTCTCAGCACTTGCCAAATGTTGGTCTCGAAGCGCTGGTAAGGTAAAAAGAATATGAAACATGTAAAGGCTCCTTAAGAGCAAAATATTTGACGATTTGTAAGTAGATACTATTTATTAGTCTAAACAAATAAATTAATTTTAACTTTGACTTTGATAACAGGATAAGACTTGGACCAGAATAAGAAAATTTATACAGAGTACATTTACATGAATTACACTACTTTATTTTCGTTCTAATTTAACATGTACGAGTATGTACCCAGTGGACTACAGTTCCAGATACCCATTTCCGTTTTTTCTCTCGCTCTCATCAAATAGCGATTCTTTGCGATAGAACGAGACTGCACAATTATTAATATTGATCATCATACCATTGATTTTCATGAATAAACGGTTGGAAATCTCTCTGCTCTGCACGCTTCTACTTCTAAGACTTATGCTCTGCTCACCACTCAATAGGGATGTTTCCTGGGTTAAAAAGCAAGAGTTTTAATTAGTCCGTCAGTTACCTTATCAAAAAATACTCGACACCTATTTTTCACTTTTTAAAACTAATGAAAATGTAAAGAGTGTGACGTCGCGCGGAACTTCAACGCACTATAACTTTGTAATTATTTGTTTGATTGACAATTAAAAATATACGTATCCAATATTTTTTTATATTAAAATTGACGGACTAAAAAATTTTTTTTAGGAAACTAGCCTATTGTATTTGTAGCTCATTTATAGAACATAGCAAAATGTTTAGCGCAGAATAGCAAATAATATCTTCGTCTTTCACTCCTGACTAATTAACTATATCCTGCAATTTTCCCAATACATCGTCACTCTATCATTAAAGCAGAAGTTTGTTGGTTCGCTGCGAAATTTAGAAGCCTTCAGAATGTTGTTTTAGAGTCTAGAACTTGCAGCGAAGTGAGCGCTGAAACTTGGCGAAATTAAACGCTGCCGAAAGGAAAGCCAAGCTGTTACGTCCGTCGATTATCTAAATTAATTAAGTAAATAAATTAAATATGGTTCTCATTTTGAACCTCGCTATTTTGCCTAAACTCAGTAAATTTTTCGTTCGTTCGTTCGTTTCAGCCGAAAGACGTCCACTGCTGGACAAAGACCTTCCACCAAAACAACGATGTTTGTGGAAAACCTTGGGGTTTTTTTTTCTCAAATTAATTTCTAAGGTTCTACTGATTGTCAGTTTTGTAAGGCACAATAAACAATATACCACATACTCGTAATGTAGAGGTGTTTTTACTTAATTATTTAGTTAATTAGTTTATTTCTTTGCGGCCTTAAGTAACTCAAAGGTGACTGACTGACTGACTGACTGACTGACAGTGATCTATCAACGCACAGCCCAAACCACTGGACGGATCAGGCTGAAAGTAGATGTTATGACGTAGCGACGTAAGCATCCGCTAAGAAAGGATTTTACGAAATTCCACCCCTAAGGGGGTAAAACGGGATCCACGCGTACGAAGTCGCGGACGGCCACTAGTCTATCAATAAAACTAAGAGTCTTTGCTATCTACTCGTATTACGTAACAAATTAATAGTAAACTCGTGTTTTATCCCAACCCTATGACCTGGATTTACGTAATAAACAGAAACGTGGCAAGTTGAGTACCTATCTCTAAATATCTCTAAATAACCCCTAATTGGATTACCGTCTAGACAACACATAACAATCACACAATACTAATGTGAATGTGAAAGTCTGTCTGTTATGTCTTCACGCCAAACCGCTGTAAATTAATTTTGGATATAGAGATAAATCGAATCAAAAATAAAGATGCTAGCTTCCTTCTAGGGTAGGTATATGTAGCTTGAAATACTTATTAAAATACTTGCATTAAAAACATTTTATTTTATTTTCACTTAAATGCACTTTTAAAGAACAACTAAAATATTTTTACTAAGAAGAAGCAATCCAAATAACTCTGACACTATTTTAATGTCTGTCAGTATCTTTTCAGTTTTATTTCTTCTATTTATGAAGCAATGAATGAAAATGTTCTTATTCTACAAATCTACACACGCGAAACCGCGGGCACAAGCTAGCTAGAATTATACTTTATTTTAATGTCAAGAGATCATCATGCAAACGATATCGAGAGAAATACTATGAATCCATTATTAGTGCAAATAAACAAATAAAGCGCATTCAGAACTGCACAGACGTTCTAGGTATTATCTGAAGTACAGTCAGGCACGAAATTATCCGCTTATAACAAAAACATAATACTTAAACATGAAAAATATCAGTGCAAAGGCAGTAGTAACTACTTCATTTTTTTAAATATGCTTTGTTTACTCGTATATTGTAACAATCAATTTTTCTTTTATCTCTTGGTCAACTTTACGGGTAGTATACTTAAACTTTGATTCATTTATTTCATTGCCTTATTATAAAATCGACCTGGTTATTATATGTAATAACCATTTGCATAACAAACAGTTTAATTAAAATAGTAAGACATGGGTTTTAAACAATTTTAATTTAAATGGAACGCAATAGTTTAAAATCTTATAAAAATCAGTTTATCAAAGTAGGACAAGGCAATAATAATGTATAAACATGAGTAGAATATAACAAAGATGTACATTATTGTTCTGTCTGTACCTACAATAACATAACGTCTTAAAGTCATCGTTCGGTTATCCCGGTCTAAATTAAAAGATAAGACTATTACTACCAAGAAAATGACGTATTTGTTGTTGTTGTTATGAATAACATTCGTTTTAATTGCAAACCAACCCGTGCTCCACCTTCGTCCGAAGAGCAAAAGCGCAATCAGAAAAAAAAGAGGAATAAATTCCATGCGCGATACAAGCTTTCGAAATTATTTGAACCTTGCATACAATTTTTTTTTCGTTTTAGTACAATAACTGCATTTTAGAATAAAGCTTGTTTTTAAAAAGGTTTTTTAAATTATTAATTTATAGTATCAGTTAGGTGCTAATTTTAATTAACAATTGTATTCATGCAACTATAGCAACGGCTTCGTACTTATTTACAGAATAATAAGTTATCATAATAGTCTGTTATGACTGGGTTCACTCAATCTCTAGAAATCAAGAATAAGTAGGTAGTATAAGTAATAATTTATTAACCTACTTATAAAACATACCTAATAATGTATTTTAATAGTAAATTAAAATAAATAAAAAATACGAAAACATAAGTAAAAGGGATTTCTTATTTATGCCATCATAATTAGGGTCCTAAATCCCTTTAAAAAGGAATAACATTATGAAGTATTTCATTTCTAAAATAAAAAAAGACCAATTTATTTAAAAAATGAATTTTATTTTTTGAAATACAATTAAAATAGGCTACACATATTTCTTAAAATAATATACATTTTGGACGGAATACTGATATCAAGTAAGATAAAATATACTTTAAAATTACCTAGTCCTAATTATACAAGTTTTATATTAGCTAGCTCAATAGGCCCTTATATTTTTCTTAGCATTTTAGTTTAATTCAAGTAAAACTCAAAACATTTTAAAATATAAACGAAAAAAAGACGTTTCTGTTTTCGGTGTCCATGGCCTTATTGAGTACTTCCATAACTTTGTCATTAACTAATCTGGGAGCGTCCTTCGCCCACAAGTAATCCATGTGGTTAAACTTCTCGAAGGGCACTAAGTACAGCGTCGAATGCGGCAACCTTTCGTGGAGCTTCATCACGTCCCTCTCATCTGACAACAAATCGTTTTTCGCCCAAAACAACGTAACATTCAACGTGACTTTGCTCAAATCATACTCAGGGGGATTGTCTGACCCATAGATCCTTTGGTTCCGCTCCGCATAACCATAATCGAACTGCTGGAACTTCTCCGCTAACACCATCTGAGACATATGAAGAGCAGTCTTCCAAGACGTACCCGTGCCCAAGTTTGACAGAAAGAAAGGCAGCAAAGTTTTGTTGTACTGCTCCTCGTCTGCTCCACAAATGTAGAATACAACATTATTACACACAGAAACATCCATATTCTCAGCTTCGCACATCTTATTCATTCGCCCCAAAAATGACTTTTTCGGTAAAAACTCGTGAGCGCCGTATATCATCTCGGTGTGCGCAAGATGGCTCGCGATGCTGGCTAGAGATTTAATGGGGGATTTCATATTTGATATAAAAACTTCAGGAGCCAACGCTACGCCTACGCTTAATTTATCGTTATATTCTGGTCGCAGCGACAGCATCGTGAACAGAATCGTGGTCCCCATCGAATGCCCGACATAAGCTATCTTCGTGTCTTCCCCCTTTATGTTCCTAATGTAATCTATGACAGCCGGTATGTCGTACAACGCCACTTCGTTCCATGAAAAGTTCCAATACTCCTTGGTATTTTCTTTGTACCAGGCATGTTCTTTGGAGTATTTGTTCCCTCTAATATTCGTCATCCAGACATCGTATCCGGCATCTGCCAGAATATACCCGAGAGACTTCTCTGGTCCATTCATGATCCAATCAGCAGAACTCGCGAATAGTCCGTGCTGCAGCAGAACCGTTTTCTTCGGTATCTGTCCTCCATGTTTCGGTCTTGGTATCCTGTGTACGTTTAGAAGGTAACCTTTGGACAAAATCGTGTGCGTCTCACAATTGTAACCGTTTCGTGAAATAATTGATGGAACAGACAAAACTAGATCTGGGTTTACCAGTCTCGACTCAGGGTCTTCAGTTGGCATGAAGGACCACGTATCGACGAAGTATCTTCCGTTATCTTTGACTTTATCGACGTAATTGTTGACATCGTCCGAGATTTTCTTCTTCTGTTCTTCTATGTAGTCTTTCACTTTCGTTTGCACTTTAACAGCCTCGTCGTATTGTGTGTTGACAGCCTGTTCCACTCGTTGAAATTGGTTTTTGAAGAATGTGTTCATTACATCTGTCTGTTCTTTGAAGAAATCGTCGAGTGCGTAGCCGTTATTTGGCAGAAATTGCGATATAATTAGCACAGCACAGATAATTAACTTCTGAGACATGTTGACCGTTTTAAGATTCGCACTTATACTGATTCAGAGTTTACACGTTGACTAGAACAACATATTCCTGCTGACCCCCGGGATCAAGCCCGGACGTCATTCAGATAAAGTATATTGTCGTGTACAAATAATCATTGAATGATTAATTTAATAAAAAACAATGATCATTGAATCCGGAATGAAACGATACAAAGACTTGGAATCATACTCGTACATAATAGTCTATAATTAGTTTCCAATGTTAGATAATAACATTAGCGAACCCTTGACCTATTTCTACGGAGCAGTAAACGATCTGTCAGATGATGATACCAGAATTATCAAAAACTAGCGGCCGCCCGCGACTTCGTACGCGTGGATCCCGTTTTACCCCCTTAGGGGTGGAATTTCGTAAAATCCTTTCTTAGCGGATGCCTATGTTATAACGTCTACCTGCATGCCAAATTTCAGCCCGATCCGTCCAGTGGTTTGGGCTGTGCGTTGATAGATCACTATGTCAGTCAGTCAGTCAGTCAACTTTGAGTTATAATAATATATTATATTTAGATAGATTGCTGAATTTTAATAAACAGACTTTAATGAGCTCATTAAGCGTTTAATAATGGACATTGCACATAGATAAATAACAATAATAAACATAAACAGTGATAAATTATTATGTTCTCCAAATCAAAAGACAACGGACATGACACTGTGTAAAAAAATCTTGATGAAAATTTTCAATTTCCTTTGATAAAAGTGATACTAACTGGGCTATTTCAACAAAATTCTAACACCATTAAATTAGATAATTATTTCATTATGATACTATCAAATGATAAAACATATCTAACAATTATAAAACGATAATACGGACTTGTAAAATGATAAGAAAAACCTTTAACCCATCAAAAACAATACTTGTCAAAAAAACCAAGTCTCGCAACTCAGTTGTTCTACGGTAAAAAGTTGTGAGATCCATGTAATACCAAGTCCAGGCCAGGAAATCTTTAACGTTTTACATAAATTATTGACTTGGCCATCGCACTAAATAATTTAATTTACACGTGTTTTCATGCGATGGCCAAGTCAATATATTTATGTAAAACGTTAAAGATTTCCTGGCCTGGACTTGGTATTACATGGATCTCACAACTTTTTACCGTAGAACAACTGAGTTGCGAGACTTGGTTTTTTTGACAAGTATTGTTTTTGATGGGATCTCATTTCTTTTTGTATTTTGTAGACAGCAGTTATGTATCTAGAAAACTGGACCGAAATTGAAAAATTTTACTCGACTTGGCGGTTGCACTACCGTGCCCCCAAATATTTTAGTTTTTCCTTGATTCATACACCAAACACTACTTATATTCCAAATTTGAAGCTTCTAGGTCTGCTAGAAGTGCCTTAGAGTTTTGATGATCGGTGAGTCAGTGAGTGAGTCAGTGAGTCAGTGAGTCAGTCAGTGAGTGACAAAATTAAGTAACTTTGACCCGTTATAATTCTTAAACTACTGGTTCAAATTGAATGAAATTTTAAATATACCGTGTCTTTACAATGCCTGCATAGCTAATGAAAATTCAGCCTTCTAGTTTTATCCACAACGAAGTTACAGGCGGTCGAAAATGGCCTGAATTGCTTCGAGAAAAGGATGGTACGGCCGTGCCGCTTTTTTGCTCGACTTGGTGGGGGCACTGCCGTGCCCCCAGATAACGTACATTGACGTATTGAAGTTTAAGGTCAAGGTAAAAATCCGGATGCTATTGTTTTAAAATCATATTTCTAAGCAAGTATAAATATTTTTACATTAATGCGCAGTATGTCTAAGATAACTCATTTTTCAAGACACGTGATGAAAATGATAAATCTACTAATTGTAAGTAGACCTTAAAGTAGGTAGTACCTAACTAAGCAGGTAATAAAAAGCTAAATGTACACTTTCATTTTGTGTCTTTTTTCACAAACTATAGATTCGGTGTACTGAACATAGAAGTTACGATTATAATAACGTCCACGACTCCGGGTACAACTGCTTTTGCCCCTAGTGGGAATCGAACCCCGACCCATTCTAGCTGCTAGCATGGGACTATTCCCACCTATCGTTCCCACCGCTGCAACTACCGTGTCGCCAGGATCTACAACTTGACCGCCAATAAAAACACAACCAGTGAAGGTCAAGTTTGTCCCGGGGGAAAGTTAACTGTCATCTGACCCGCAACGAAATTAATTATTCTAGCCAATAGAAAATCGCCAGCCGGGTTCAACATATTATTATGTAAAAAATCTAGATAAAAAGATTTGGGTTAGCACGGCAAATACAGATTACACAGGCACGAGTAAAAAACATTTTGTACGCGGTCAATCAAATCGTTGACGCCATTTTTTTTTTGTCGGCACTGGAACTATTTTCGGGAACAAAATCAAAGCGTTAGTTTTCAGGTGTCCGATGTGGATGTGGGAAACGATTCAACGAGTGTTTGAATCCAACAATTTCATTTTTACTGGAAATATTTTTTTCAGTTAATATTTTTTTTAGTTTATTGATTATTTCTCTTGGTGCCCGTGTCGGATAACGAAATGTGGTTGTAATAATAATCATTTCTTTATTTGCACAGAAATATGATACAGAAAAATAATATAATCGGGCTTATGTTTCGTGTATAAACAATACAAAGTCGATTATTTTTATTAATTCACTAGGTTTCCGCCCACGACTTCGCCCGGGGTTTATCCGGAATTATTCGAATTTTTCTCGCCTTAAAAACCATCCTTGGACTCCAAGGAACATTTAAAAAAAAGAATTGGTAAAATTGGTCCATGCGTTGTTGAGTTATGCGCTTTCCAACACATTTTGCGATTCATTTTTATGATTGTGTTAATTAACTGCTTATGGTCAAAGTCCCTTTAGGTCATTATTGAAGAAAACTAATAATTAAAAATGTGTGGTTTTTAGTTGTTTTTGTGAAATAAGTAAAATTTTCATATTATGTGTTTTGCTGTTGGTGTAGGTACCCTTTATAAAAAATAAATCTTTCTGTCTTTACTTTTTAAAATAATCTAAGGCTCATTGGTTCAAAAAAATTAAAACTCATAAAAACTCATAAAACTCATTTATTTCTGTGAATAGGCTTAAAAAAAGCACTTTTACACGAATTAATAGTTACCGCCTTCGATCTAGAATTCTAGACTTTGTATAATACTTACCTAGGTAAGACATTGAATTCCATTTTTAAACAGTCCCATTTTATCGCTAGGGCTTACCGCAATCAATTTGAATTTTAACAAAGGTATTCGAGGGTCAGCATCGGAATGGCCACGTCTGCGGATTCCCTGCATGTAGAGAGCCTATTTGTCGGGCCCAATCGACCCTAAATAGGGTTGCCAGGTCCAAAACAAAAGTAGCCGGACTCAGTGCTTAATTTAGCCAGACATTTTACCCTAAAAGCTGGACATTCATGAGCATAACCCCCCTTCTGTCTTGAATTCTCGGAATATAATTGAAGTGGTAGCAAAATATGTGTGCTCTATTTAGTGCCCCTTTTAACACGTGATGGCCTAAGCAATTGCTTAATTTGCTTGGGTTAATCCGGCACTGCCTACATGAAAATAGGTACGTTAGCCAGTGTCTTCAAAAGTTAGTACATAAGGCTCTGCCCTGCTGCCACATGAAAAGCCTAGCAAAAACCGGACAAGACCGTACAAGATTCGTCCGGCAAAAGCCGGACACCTCGCAACCCTAACCCCAAACCCCTGTCGGAATCTTTGGAACAGCAAACATGAAAATTCGAAGCGTATTTTTGCTCTCCATGTTACTTTTTATATCCTTTTTATTCACTACAATAGGCATTGGTATTTGATCGCAATCTTTCTTCATGTAATGTACCTCCCTACCTACAACCTGTCTTGTAGACTTATTTCCTAAACGAAAACCATTGAACTTTGTCATAGTCTGAGTTTGGCATGGATCTTCTAGTGTACTGCAATAGGTACTGTAAAGTTCTAAATGTAAAATTTTTCGATTCCCCATAGAGATACAATTACCTAGCTACTTCAAAATGGCGAGAATTTGATAATATCCTTCTGGCGCAGTCGGGTCATTTGTCCTACTAATATTATAAAGGTAAAAGTTTGTGTGGATGTTTGTTACTCTTTGACGCAAAAACTACTGAACGGATTTTATTGAAACTTTACAGTATTATTATTTGTACCCCAGATAAACATATAGGCTATAATTTATGCCAATCTGTGGCACTAAATTTCATTCGGGTGAACCCGCGGGCAAAAGCTATACCTACTTATTTAATATTTATCAAAGTACCTACTATTAAACTACTCGTAGTTTTACCATGTCCTTCCGTTTGTCGCTAAGATATTTTTTGGCATTTTTAATAAGTTGCCCATCAGTAAAAGCTAAACTCTACGGCCCCTTGTTTGGCCCATTTCATTTCACTTCTACATTCCATATAAGAGGGAATACCCTATAAGGCGCGTGCGTCATCTGGCCCATCGAGATATCATGCAGACGTCTTCCGTACAAGCACCCTCATCGGCATAAGTACCTCCCTATGGCTATAGATTTAAGGTCGAAAAGAGCTACACACTTTTGCCACAACAGAAATGGAATCCGTAGGCTCGAGGAACTAAGCCTGCAGTAAATACTTTATTATTTACAAAAACGCTTGTACGTATTTTCTATTCTACCATATCAACGTGGCAAATCTCCTTTATACCGTCGTCTTCTGCAACTGTTGCTAGGAAAATTTTATACTGTAACTGTAACAGCTGTATCTACGTAATGGCTAAAAAGTTATATAAATATTTCCTTTTTTTTCGGTTTTGCTTGATCAAAGCCCCGGGCTAGCATAATTTAAAAGCTCTGCTTGAATAAGAATGGAGAAATTGACTCCACCAGATCGAAACTTACTGGGCCTGTGTCGATTGCGTCCCAACTGTCTGATATTAGGCCGTTCCGAACCCCCATATTAGGCGAACCTCAGTTTATGCCTTCTCAATACTGCCTTTGTGTGCTTTGTTTCATTATCTTATGGAAGCGGGCTATAAGA